TTTTTTTTTTTTTTTTTTTTTTTTTGGTACAGGGGATTGAACTCCGGACCTTGTGCTTGTGAAGCAGGCAGTGGCACCACTGAGCTAAATCCCCGGCCCTCTACATAACTTGTAAGGCCCAATTCTGTTCAGATAATCAGCGGTTCCATGATTAACCTTTTAATCTAATCTTCCAAATTATTCTTTACTTCCAAATTTCTCCTTTCTATTCTTTCTTTAAATCCTCCAGTCCCAAACATTTCATCTGTCTCTGGCTCCTCTCTCTTTTGCTTCTTTTTTCTTTACCTCAGTTCTTCTCTCCTTTCTTCCCTCCCTGCTTCTCTCACTTCCTCATCTTTCCTTCTTTTCTTTCTCGCCCCCTTCCCTTCCATTCTTTTCCATTCTGTTCCATTCCGTTCCGTTCCCTTCCCTTCCTTTCTTTTCTTTCATGCTGGAAATAGAATCCAGGGCATGCTAGGCAAACACTCTACAACTCAGCTACACCCCTAGCCTACACTAATCTCTTTGTTACACTTGGGGTTTCTCCTGCCCTCCACTCAATATCTATTATTTGCCCTCCCTTCCTAGCCTCATTCTGGGGCTTCACTATGTATTGCCTGAATTATTCTATAGCCTCCTCTCTGAACTTCTGGCCTCTAGCTTTCCCTTTGTCTTAATCTATCCTGTATTTTTAAAACATCCCTGTGTTAAGCTCTCTTTCCTTGCAACCCTCCTTCACCTGGATCTCAGTCATATCGAAAATCTTCACCATTCATTTTCCTGGCATTGAAAATCCTCCATTGTCAGGCACAACTTACCTCTCTAGACATACTTCTTGCACTCACTTTCCCAAACTCCTCTTACTTTCCCTGTATGCCAGGAAGGGGCTCTTGTCCTATTACTCACCTTTGTCTTATACCCAATTCCCTGTTCACAACTTTCCCCTTGACCCAATCCCTTGACATCAGTAAAATCCTATGCATCCTTCCAGGTCAGTCTCAAATCTCTCCTTTATTAACTCTTCCCAGTGGACTCCAGTCTACTTATCTTTCCTCCCCTGCACTGCTATATCACTTTTTGTCTGCTTTATTCATCTGACAATCAATCATGTATTGATTGCCTTGTTGCACCTGTTAAAACTATTTATCTTTGGTATGGCCACTTAACTGTTTCTTTTGTGTGTATCTTCTCTCTCCAACTACCTAAAATCTCATCGAGGGCAGGAGTTATGATTGCATCTTTTTAAAAATTCTGTAACAGAACTGTGCACTTAGTTGGGGTTAGCTCATTTATGTGTATGAAATAGTTTCCAATAGACTAACCAATTACTCTGACACTACTTTAGTAGACCAGTAAAGCCATGATTAATCTTTCCTCACCCTATTTGTCAGGCACTCATTGTGACAGAGGATAGAAGGTGCTTTTAGAGATAAGGTATGTATGGGAAAAAAGCATATTTGGCTGGTTAAGCTTCAAGCAAGATGAATTGCTACAATGCTGGTAGACAGACATTTCTTTATCAGCTATAAGTGTCTCTTAATAGATTTAAATCCCTGAAACAGCTTCTCAATGGTGCGAGTACAACCTTATGCTCACAACTCTTCCAAGAGAATGAAGAAGCAGATTCATTTTTTTCTTTTTAGTTTGTGCTGATTAGCCAATGCCTACATGTTTAGCACAGTGGAATCAAGAATGGCACATCAATTCTCTGGTGACTTTCTCTAGCATCATTTGTACCTTGGACTAATAGTTAAAATACAAAATACCTTGTGTGACCTTTTATGGCAAATTGAAAACGTTACATAATTTGTAAGAAGCATTCCAGTTGCAATAGAGGTAAGCCAAGGGAAGCAAAGGTATTCCTCCAAAGGGATGAGGGTGAAAGAGGATCATAGAAGTTACCACGTATTTTTTACTATCTCTAATGTATCAGAGTGGCCTCATTCCTGGGGCAAAGGTCCTCTCCTCTGAGGAAAGGAAGAAGAAATTAACAAAGAAGTTTAATGCTAAGTGGTAAGTCATATGAAGGAACATCATTAGGTCCTAAGTAAAAGATCTCTCAATTAAGCATATATATTGTGGGTATGGAAGGGGCCTTAATGATATGTTGGGAGGCCCCAGGTTCATCAACTTGTCATGTTCCCCTAGCACAAAAATAGAGAATAGAACGTGTACTTAGGAGATTAAGTGGTCAAAAAGCTGAGAAATCCTAGGGGAGTGGGGAGAGAGCGTTCTTCTTAATGGCATGACAGTATTTTTCTTTTTCAGTCCAATCAATACAGAGCCATATTTCACACTGATCCATCCCAAATGCCTAGAACAATCCTCTTCCCTTTGCTAGTCATTTACGACATCAAGATCTTTTAAAGGTTGTATTCATCTTTCCCTTTAGCTCCAAAGAAGAATTTTGCTTTAGGATGAACCCTACATATCCTCTCTCCAAAATCTGGATCCCAAATTGTCCTCCAGGTTTATTTATTGATTCAAAAAAATTTTTGAGCTTCTGCTACGTGCCAGACATTTTTCTAAGTAAATAAGTGACACAAGTCTCTTTCCTCCTGGAACTTCTACAGCATAACAATGGTGGATTACAGAAGAGCAGGCTGACTGTGCATCCCAGAGTTTAAATTGTGGCAGCACATGTTCTTCCAGGGAGCAATGACTAAAACTTTGATATTGCCAGGGAGAAAATAGCCATGGTAAGTTGTTCTTCCCTATGTGTTTCTCTTGTGGTGGACCGGAAACAGAAAGGGGGAATTGTGCAGTGCTTAAGGACATACATAAGCTTTGGGATCACACAGCCTGGGTCCAAATCCTGGTTTTGCTACTGAGTAGATATTTCATCTTGGTTTGGTTCCTTCTTCTTCCTGAATCTCACTTTTTAAAAAACTAGTACCATAGCCATTCAGGAAACCCAGGTAAAAACTGCTGATCACAGCACTCCTAACATAAGTGGATCTAAGTTAGCTGCTCACGTTCTTCTTAAATGCCTCATTCACTGGGTATGAGTGACAGCTACATATCAAGGGGGTGTATATAGAGGTATCTAGACCACACAATCACCAGAGTATAAGTCTAAGAGAATTACTAACATTCATGCATGGTTAAACAGGTTTCTTAAAGTTATCTACCTATATTTCCTGACCAGACGGTCTTCGACTCCATTTTATTAGTTCTCTCTTTGAATTATGGCTCAACTAATGCAATTGACTGAGTACTCATGAAAATTGTGTGGAATTTCTACTTCCCTTACCTTATAAATTTCTCCCTGTTGGACAGTTTTTATGATGTTGATCCATTCTTCCATGTCTTTTCTGTCAGGTGCAGCCAGGGTGACTCTTCGTTGAGGTGTGATAAGCTAAACAAAAAGTCATAGTATTAGCTGGTTCTCACTTCACACAACCCCGTCCCTCCCTCACAACTATGTCTGTAAGCTCACTGAGGAGGTGGACAGATCTACCAAGCACAATACAACCCATTTCTTAAATATAAGACACAGGTCCCCATGGCCACTCACAACTCTTTAGATGCCTATCCAAAACAATAGTAAAGATAATAGTAATAATTAAGGCTGTAATAGCACTTCTCATGTCCCAGAATTATTTGAAAGCCCTTTGATTGAGTATATTATTTCAATCTGCATTACATCTCTATGAGGTGGGGATTGATATTTTTCTCATTTCATAATAACAACTTTACATTAGTCTCTCAATTGTGCTCAGTGCAAGAACTCAGTCAAGAATGATAAGAAATCCACATTGAGAGTTTAGCAGGTGAAGATCAGGAAAGAACTTGATCTTTTCCCAGAAGACAGGAGAAAGCATGGATATCTGTGCCATCAGTCATTGATTTGACTGCCCTCTTTACTTTTACTACCGGTGCCTCAAATCTTGGGACTAGAACTCACCACATCAAGAAATTTCTTTCCCACATTGCATGTTGCTAGTTGGGATCATAACCGCAGCCATTCCTTTCATGATATAATAATAAATGATAAACCTATTCTTAGTTGGAGCTAAAGGGCAATGCCTCTGTGCTTTCATTTATCTAAAAGGCAACCTAGCCCTTGTGATTTCTTGGTAGAAAGGAGACCAAAAACAGCCTGTAGGTTCATTAACTGGGAGTTCAGCCTTTTTGAACTAATTAATAGAAACCTCAAATTTACTCTGGGTCACTTTTATGTAATGAGAAAAATGAAAGCTAGGTCTCCTTGGATCCAGCTACTCTTCCTTCAAATAGAATGTACTACGGACTACCCATGGGAACACAGTATTAGGTCTACTGTTTTTTGGCTGAAGAGGAGCCTAGTTTCTATAACCCACTGCTGTGGTTGGAAAAAGGCAGTTTTGGCAGGAGATGGGAAGATTTCTGGGCAAATGGATTTGCTATTTTTCAGTGAGTTTTCCGGTCTGGATTCATGCCCTTCCAGGTATTCTAATCCTTTGAACTCTTCCTTAGAAAATCCACTTTCTTTGAGGTACTCTCCGCATTAGGTAAATTTCACTTTGGACTGAGGTTCTTATCCACATTATCAAAGGAGAGAATATCATGTAACTCAATTATCCCCATGTTTTCTATGACATAGTAGCAGTCTTTTGAAATCCTCCCAAAGATACTCTTCTAAATCACCTTTACTAAGAGAACTGACTAATTTTTGTAATAGTCACATTCCCCCTGGCCCCTGAAATCGGCCTAGCTTTATAGCAGGCTGGTAATAGAAAACAGAGTCACACCCCCTCTCCATAGGTGGGCTGGTAGAAAAAGTATGAATGAAAAATACTCTGGAATCACAGGACACTTGGGAAATCCAAAGAGGGGAAAAGTGGGATGGCAAACCCTCTTCTCAGCTAGCCTCCACCCCTATTCCCTTAGTCACTCCCAATCTTACTTACACAAAAACTGTGGCAAAGATTTCTGCAGCTGGTTTCTGCCAAGGTGACCTGAGACAGATCAATTGTTTCAAAGTGAACAAACTGCAAAAATACAAGAGGGAGAAGGACAAGGAACCATTTGGTTAATGAGGCAAAGAAACAATAAAAGGTAAATACATGTGCACAATACACTGACAGGCATTTTTGGCAGTTATGATCCAGTTGCTTATCTTGATGGCTGAAATTTATTTAGCAGCATAATTTTTGTGCATGTATTGTGTGACAAATAAAGTACAAATTCAACTAAGCCAAAACACAAAATTTTTTGAGATTTATAAAAAAACTTAGATTGGTCAGCTCAAAATTATGCAAATGCTAGGGAGGGTTGATGCTGGAGACAGTAATGGGATGTGGTCTAGCTAGGGACCTAATAATACAGACTGCTATTAGCTCCTGTCATATTGGGTGGCCACCTTTGACGGAGTTGCTTGCATCCATTTTGAGGTCTGTACCTCCTTGAACATTGGTCATAGTAGATACTATATATCCAGAAGTAAAAAAGTCAGTACTCCAATATAGACAGGAGTGGTTTCACCAGTATGCAACTTGTGTAGTCACACAGGACCCCATATTCAGAAGAATGCTATACTTGGTTTAACGCACTGTTATTGCCACCTTAAAATTGTAAACATTTTTATCTTTGAGATTGTGTTTGAAAATGAAATCCAGTGAGACAGTGAGTCATATATATGGAGCAAAGGACCGTCCTGTCATTGCATTTATGTTTATGGTGTCTATAAGCATAGAATTCCAGCGGACACATAGAGTGTGGGAGTTGAGCAAAATTCAAGGTAAGCTGAGTAAAGAGGGTTTACTGACAACCATGAGAGGCTACACTTTCTGTTAGACTAAGAACTTGCTGCAAACATAGAAAAAAGGTAAGGGAGGTGGAGCGAATATGACGAACTAGGGAGCCTTGGTATAGTATTCTTTCTTATTCATGTTACTTACCTGTATTGGCCAATCCTAGCAAGTGTTGATAGAATGTGCTAGTACCAAAAAGTGAAACAAAAACAGTGGAGCCAGCTTTGTGATGTTTTGTATACTAACGAGAACAAAATTTATATGCATGTATGAGCTACTACAAATGATATAATTTTGGTGATTCTTCACAGGAGTTGAATGTACTTATATTTGCATTTAAAACTAGCATGGTACAATGTACAAATGAATAATAAAATTCTCACTAATTAGAATTATATTCTTTTACTTAAAATGACATTATATATAAAAATTAAAATATAAAAATTGCTTTATACTTTAGTGTAAATGACCAGCATCATATATGAGTTCTTCCTGGTTTTTGTAAAAAAAAACCTAAATCTTGCATTTTCATTTTGCACTGGGCCCCATAAATTATGTGGTTGGCTCTGGGTGTTAACTGGGAAATCTCTGAAAGAATGAGAAATAAGAAAGGGGCAGGGGAGGAAATTGTCTCCCATTTTGCCCAAAGGATAAATCGAAGAGTAGAGGGTTTCAATTTCCACCCTAATGTTTCCTAACATGTCTTTACCAGCTGGCCATCTCCCCCATCCAAACATTTCCTGGTGCCCACCAATTAACTCAGTTGATAAGATTCTATATATTACCGAGGAATGGTGTGCAAAGTAGAGTTGCCGCCCTTGAACCATAACGTATCTAAGCTTCCATCTCTTAAAGGAGTTACAGTTCTTCATCAGTGGTCCTTCCTTCAGTATCTTCTGAAAGACAGAAATATAGCCATTGATTAATTAGATCAGTTTTCAAGACCATATCACTTGTTCAGTCACATGGAAAGATATCTGTCACACATATCTGAGAAATGGCCCATAGACCAGACAAGTGCCCAAGAGAGTTACTTCAATTAGAAAGGCATGAGTTTCTCTTGTATAACACAACACAATAAAGGCTTCAAGTTTCTTAGGATACGTGGCCCAAGAACCATGGAAGATATCTCCATTTGTGGTAGAAGCTGGCAGAGAGAAATGTGAACACATAAATATAAAAGATACAGTAATATCTCAGTTGTAGAATGATTCTAAGCACAAACTTTCCACTACTCAAACAGCAAAGCGTGAAAAAAATATCTGCTTGGTGTTCATAACTTTTCTCAACAGTCAAACAGAAAATCTGACTTGAAAAAACCTGTACAGATGGGAAGTGAGTTATGCATCACTTCACACCATGAACACAAAGAGGTGACTCTTCAGCTTAAGTGCTGCTGTCATCCAGACAACATATGCTTGTGTTAGTGCTTTAAAATATTGGTCATTGTGCTTTTTTTAGTTCTTTATTGGCATAAAATATCATAACCATAGCTCCAAAGAAAGTTAGTGGTACGTACGATAAAGCTAAGAGGAAAATCGTGAGAACCATGATAGAGTTAAAGAAAGAAATCACTGTGAAATTTAAAGTCCTGGCAAAGTAAATTTATAAGTATAATTTTGGGGCCTTAGAACCAATTATTTTCTTTTCCATTATTTTTTATGGGAAAAATATGTTCAGTTCTCAAACTTCTCTGCATTCAAACACGAATTTGGAACAAATTGAGTTTGACAACCAAGATGTCACTATAATATTCAGTAAAGGCTGATTTTTCAAAGCATCAAGTCGTTGCATTAGACAGGATGCTCTTGTCAGTTCTTTTAGAGTGACCCTTTTAAAATATGAAGTTGGATCACGTAATTTCCTTGCTCAGAAGCCTCCAACAGCTTCCCAACACATTTAGAATCAAATATAAATTCCTTACCAGGGCATTCAGAGGACTCATGGTCTGGTGAGGGATCAAGCACATAAAAAGATCACCAAAAGACAGCTATCTTCCAATTATTTTTTGTATATATCTCATAGTTTGAACAATGATTTTCCACTTACTTCCAGAACAGACTGACTCCAAAGAAGCAACCAAGTACACGTACCATTTTCACCATTAGGGATGGGACATTTTCAGTTATATCATAAGATACAGATTAACATGCAAGACTGCCATTTGGGAGAAATACTCACCCCTGTCAAGCTAGAACCAAACCTATAGTTACTGCAAAAAGAGGCAGTTTAAACCATCAAATCAAGGCTGTATCATGATTTCCTCCATCATTCAAATCAGAATTCACTACTGAGTGGCTATAAAGGTGTTTTTTAATGACCTGCCTAGTGTTTTTCAAAGGGTTTAACTAGTTCATAATATTTAAAAGCAGAAGACCCCATTAAAATCCAGATGTTCTGTTTCTTTGAAAAAAACTCAGAACATCTAGCAACATTAAGCTTACATGTTCACAATGCAATAATCTATTAGAACTGTGTAGCAGCAGCCCTCTTCAGACGGAGTTCCTGATTCCAGCAGGCATTTGAGTTTGGGGCTGTAATCTAGACAATTCTTTGCTGTTCCCATCTTCCGATACACACACAAACATCTATATACTTTGTTAAATTTCTAATCAATTGGATAGCACCAATGGATATCCCCTATATGTCAACTGAAAAATCAATTCATAAGCAATTACAATTGACCTGAGTCCTCTTGAAAACTTAGGAAAGTTGCAAGGTTACCATCCCATTCTTGAGATGCAAAAGGATGGTCCCTAAGTGTCAGGACAAAATGAACAGTAAGATTTTATGGGAAAGGAAGAGGTGGCATGGAGAGTAATAAATTATTTTAAAACTGTTGAAATTGAGTCATCGATGAGAAAATAACTTTTGTCTAAGCATGAAGAATATATGGTTCTTTTTTTTCCTCTGGTCAGGTGGCCCATAATATACATTCTTAATGCTAGTATTTTATTTCCACTATCCTAATCCTTTCACCTATGCCATATACTCATCCAAACTAAGTCTTCATGATACCTAGGAAGTCATATATATCCCTTTCTCTTAAAGATTTAAATCCAAAGGTTTAACTGCTCAGTAAAGTTGAATCCACATCCCTTGTATATGCCCTATGTCCAAATTATTGAGCTCTCTATTATTTTTGATGGGTATCTGGCTATGTTGCTCAGGCTATCCCTAAATTTCTGGGCTCAAGATTTCCTCCTGCCTCAGCCTCCGAGTAGCTGGCACTACAAAGACACATCACTTCACCTGGCCATCAGCTTTGTTATTTTTCAACTCAGGGTCTCTCTGTATAATCCAGGCTTGCCTTGAATTTGCTCTGCAGCCCAGGCTGCCCTCAAATTCATTTTTGCCTCAGCTTCCAAGTGCTGAAAATTGGGTTAGGGCTAGTGTGTGCCACTAGGCCCAGATTCTGGCAATTATTAAATACTTCCTTCACTGTTCTTATTTTGTCATATATAATGTCCCCTGTCTAGTCCATTTTACAATTTTTGGGAGGACATTTCCCTTAGCCTCCATTTTAAGTTTAAAGACTTGTATTTCAGACTGGCAAGAAGATTATTCTTAAGTATTTTCTCAAGAGCTGGTTTAGCACACATATATCTTGTGAGCTGCTCTTCTTCATGGAAATACCATTTTCCTTTATCTATTTTGAAGGATTGCTATTCTGGATAAATTAATCTGGATTGGAAGTTATTTGCTCTTAAGATGTGCCATATTTAATTCCAAAGTCTTTTGGTCTTTTGAGTTTGTGTTGAGAATTCTTCTGAGATTCTAACTGGTTTGCCTTTATGTATGATACCCCCCAGCTGCTTTTACAATTCTGTTTTGTTTTTTTCTGGATTTGGGGTAATTTAATAAAGAGGACCCTTGGTGAGCTTCTTTTTGGTCAGCTTAGCTTGGTGTCCTCTGGTATCACTTACTATATTTTAAACTCTTTTCTTATATTTAGAAAATATTTTTCTATGATTTCTGTAACTCCATTTATCCTTAGACTGGTCTTCTTATTGTTGTATGGCAGTTGCTGGGTAAACTTTTCTTGCTCTCTTATTTCCTTCTTAGCTTCTTTGTGCTCTTTCTCATAATTCATTATTTTGTCTTTAATATCAGACACTATCTTCACACTGGTCATTAATGTAGTTTATGAATTCTATTCAGTTTTGTTTAATTTCAGGTATTTTCATTTGACATCTTTTCACGGATTCCACATCTTTGTTGAATCAGTAATTCAAACTTTGAACTGTTTTGTTTAGCTCATCCGATTTTTTCCTCATTTCCCCCAAATTCACCATGGACATACTGAGTGAAATTTCTGTGAATATTTGGTCCATTTCCTCTTTGAACTCATCTATTTTTTTTTTTCATTCTTTCTATGAATGTTTCATGGATTTCTGCTACCTGGTATTTGCTTTCCTTGCCCTTTGTGACTCCTTGATCTGCCTTGGGAGTGTTGGGATAATACAGGGGTCTTCTATTTCCTTGCTTACTCATGCTCCTATGTATATCTGTGGGGGTTTTGCATACATATGCAAATACACACACACACACACACACACACACACTTTTTCCACCTCCTTTTTTGGGGAGGGTAGTTAGTGCACACGTTGAGTACTGGAGAAGTGAGGAGTATTAGGAGTATTTGTGATTTATACAGAAATTTTTAGTAAGACGTTGCCTCCCCATGAACAATTTTCACCTTTGTATTTCTAGTGGTAGTATTCATTCCTTCTGTTATTTACACTTTAAGTGATTCAACTTAGTCCCTGTGTAATGCCAGAAGAATTACTTCTGATCATAACAGCATGCGTTTTCAATTTTACAACATTTCTATATGATGGTCCTTGCCATTATACTTCCACTCTTTGTCTATCCTCTGTACACACTCTGGCAATTTATTATGGTTTGTTCTGCAATGAGGTAGATGAGGTGGGCTGAGGAAAATGAGAGGTGGTTGGATGGGGGGTGTTAGATACTAAGGGGGAGTTTTGAAGGGGGCCTAGTGGTAGATAAAAAGAAAAGGTTGATGTGGGGTCTGATTCTATTGGGATACTTTTAGTTGAGTTGGAGGGTTAGTATTGAGAGGCTTCAGATAATATTTGTGGAAGCAATGGTGAGATACAGGAGAAAGGATGTTTGCTTTATGATTGAGGAAATCTACATCATTGTCAGAACCTGTTGATAGGGAGGACAATAAGCTAGGTCCAATATGGAAAAGTGAAAGACAGGATGAGGAGGGTCAAGGGTTAATGCTGGAGAAGACTGGAGTGACTGTGAGGGAACTCAGTAGGGGAAATTTTAAAACTTGGGAGGAAGATTTTATGTGTTTGTATAAAGAACAGAAATATGCTCATCATATTGTTTCAGAAGCTTAAGGTGAACAAAGTAGATATGGAGCTGAGACAAGGGAGAGAACCTAGATGACTGTTAAATAGAGCCAGTGAAAGAACAAATACACAAAAGTAATAATCTAATAAATAGAAGTAGCCATAAAAGAACACAACACAACCTCATGTTACTCAACAATCATTCAAAAACTCAAATCTATAAAATGTCCAATGGAAATACAGATTGAATATTCCAATGAGACATTGCGTATGTGATTCTCAAGTAACTTTTTTGCCAGTCTGAGTGCTCACACCCTAATAATTCCTCTGATCCTTCCACTGCAATACTGAAGCTAAATGAGACTCAGGACTTCTTTTCACCACGATGCAGGCATTCTTGCAGAGTCTGACCCAGTCCGAGTTTTTGGGTTAGCAGCTCTTGCTGTCCCTCTCCCTGGGTGTGATGGTGGAATCAGCAGACAGATTCACTGGCATGAAATTGTCCGCTGAGTCAGGATTATTTCTATGCAATAAAACCAGCTATGGTAGTAATGGGCTAATCCATTACA